GTCCGTGCGGCCCCGGCGGCCGCAAAGGGGCTCCCCAGGGACGGCGCGCCTCGCCCGGGCCTCTGCTCCCTGCCGTTATCCCCCCGCCCTGCCGTTACACCCGCCCGCGGTGCCGTTATCCCCCCACCCTGCCGTTACACCCGCCCGCGGTGCCGTTACTCCACATCACCGTTTAGCCCTCTCCGTGTTAACCTTTTTCCCCACAGGGCTGTGCATTGGTGTCCAGAGAGGGCCCAGCAGGGGGGATCTGTTCCCTTCAGGGACTCCGGTCTTGGCACTCGAATCCAACACTGATCTCTGACAGCGCAAGACTCAGGGGAAGGGGAGTGCCGAGGAGGTGAATGAAAGTCAGCCTCTGCCCTGGGTTGTCCAGCTTCTGGGCCGCACTGTGGATCTTCATCCACAGCAGTCCAAGGGCCACTTGGGAGGCCAGCAGCCCCACCAGCCTCCATGTTTCCCACCCCAATATATTGCCCTGGTCGATGTTCTGTGTTCCACAACATCAGCAGCGACATCCTCAGACAGCCCCTCAGATTCCCCGAGAGACCCTCCTGTTCAGCTCTTTGGAAGAAATGGCATTTCTCAGTGCCCCATGGTTATGTACTGTTAAAACTGGCCCCTAAACGATCCTGATTTTGTCCTCTGTTGATAGAGAACAGCCTGCCCCAGGAAAGCGCATCTTCACCAAGACAAGGTGAGGGCTGGAAATGGGGTCTTGAAGATCTGCTGTTGGTGGTGCACTGAAATAAAGTTGTGTGCACAGAGCTACCTTGAGGTGTGTCCTAGCCACATGTCAAAGGACAACTCAATTCTTGAGCAGGGATATCCCCCAGAGGGATTCACTAAGATTCGCTGGGGATTTGCTATCCCCAGAGCATTCACTGAGTCTGTAAGGCTAAGAAGTGTGATGGAGGCTGCATCTTGATACTGGGTCATACCACACACTGCTCCAAGCAAGTAACTTGAGGTTCTGGATTTCAGTTCATCGCCCTTTAGTCACAGGCTAAAAGCTATGTAATCAGTAATTACATATTGGAAGAAGCAGCAGCAATGTGTGACTAGGTGAGAAGATTCCCTGCCCAGGGGAACTTTTGAATGTGTGACTAGGTGAGAAGATTCCCTTTTCCCCTGGCAAAGTCTAGGCTAAAAGAACAGACCTCTTTTGCTTCTGTGATGCATAGGGTGGTCTCCCTCCCGCTCAAAACACTTTATTTATGCAAAAGTCTCTGTCATCTTAGAGCTGAAGAAATGCAGACAAACCAGAGTTGGCTTGTACCAACCAAGAGTTTAAAAAGAATGTCTGAAATAGCAAAGATGCTGTGTTCAAAGGTGTCCAGAATATCATGGACAAAACTCATGGTCCATCTATATTTCTTTGGATGCTGCAAGAACACCTGGTTTCTAAAACAAACATAGAAAGGGACAGCTCCTTCACTTGAGAGCCATGGGTTGCCATAGCTGTCCCCAGCCTTCAAGGAAGGGAGTGCTGCAATGAGTTCCTCCCAAGCGAAGGGGAGCAGACTTCCTCTCTCCCACCCCCCTAAAATCACTTAGCTGCAGTAAGTATGCACAAGATAAAGTATTTACAATGCCATGTAGCCAAATTGGCAGCTACGCTTTACTTCATTCCTTCCTTAAATCCTGGGAAATTCCACAGCAGAAAATAAGTCGGGAGATAAGCCTGTTTTAAAGCTGAGAATGACCAGGGAATGCTTGTGTTGAAGACTTTCATACACAGCAGCTGGTATATGGGAGAGATGTTATCTGGGCATTATTTGTTATGATGCAAAAAGTAACATGTGAGAAGCAACATTGTTTTTTTTTAATAGCTTTGAAAGGAGCATATCACCTAAAACAAAGTAACCCAACCTTCTGCTCTTTCGAACTGGCATTTGCGCAGAAGATCTCACACAGCAAAGTGGTGAAATCCAGTACAGTTGTGCGAGAGAGGAATGTAAAGAGGCTCTGTTCATGTAATACAACGCCATGAAAAGCTGTTTCATGACTCAATTGGGCAAAGGTGGCTCTAACTACTCAGTCGGGACTCAGTAGGCTCACCAGTCTGTTCTCCCATGTTGGAATAAGAGCAGCTACACATTGATTGTTCGTAATAGTTGCTTATTTAGTGTGATCTTAAAAGACCTTTGGAGAACGAGATTGTGAAACCTCAAGCAAGTACCTTCCATTCTTTTGCTATCCCATGGGTTCAGAAACAAGGACATTTAGAGAAGTCCTCCTTCTTCTCTTAGTTATACCTGAAGTTCCTGATCTGTCTTCACACGCCATATTTTCAAGACCATTCATTATTTTTGCGTGTCTCTGAGTTCTTTCCGTCTGATACACCTCTTTCCTGAAAGCTGCTGCCTAGAAAGTGCTCCAGCAAAAGCCTCCCTGATGCCGCATGGAACAGAGTAATTGCTCCATGTTTTACAGGCTGTGCCCTGTAAAAATGCTAAAAAAGGTTTGCTTTTTTTCTTTTCTTGGCCATGTGACCCTAAGTCACCTTCAGCTTGCACTCTACTGGCATAACAGGCTTTTTATCCAGAACTGCATCCTAGGTGCCAGCCTGCAGGAAGAAGCAGAAATCAAGCGTGCAGACTGTAAAACTCTAGCCTGATCCTTATTAAACGGCTACTTCTCATTCCTTTATTTTTTTTGGTGGGGGATATGTCTGATTGTTTTTCCTGTTTTCCAGATAACTTGCACCTTCCTCCAACCTGAAATTGCCTAGCTGACTGGTGGCTGTCCTGCCACCTGATATCACATGGGTTTCAAAGGTTTCACCCGAGCTGGGGCAAAAAGGGAACACCTAGTGCAGGTGAGGAAACATTTCAAGCAATCCTCAGAGGGTTCTTTAGTAAAGAGCCTAACTTCAGCCTTCTTGGTTGAGACATGTACGTGTGCATACGTGTGTTTGTGTAGGTGCATGGGCCTAGTGGCTCCAGTGGACCAGAGACATTTATTCCCTCAGGCAGGCATAATACAATAGAAACAAGACAGCCTTTTGGGAAGGTAGAGAAAAACTGGGGCAAGGAGAACTGTCCCTTAAAATATTTGAGGGTTAAGCAGGGAAAGAAGCGGAGGGCAATGAGTATTGCTAAAAGTGAATCAAAGATAATTTCCCTGGTTTTAATAGGGCTTCATAAGATGCCTTAAAGTGTGTTATGCAGAATACCTAATTGCAGCGGAAAGAACAAGTGGAAATTGTAAGTGAAGAACTGCTTAAGTGACAGCAAACAGGTTTGCCTTGAGCTAACCACACAGTAGGTGGGGATTTTGTTTCCATTAAGATTTTTTTTTTTCCAGAAAATGAGGCATGGGCTTCATTCTCCATCCAAAAGGCTCTTGGGTGCATGGGGAAAGAAATGGTAGACAACTTCTGTCTAAAATCTGGGAGACTTGTTGCTACCTCAGAAATACCCTGCTCCTACAAGATGCAGACAGGCAAGAGCCGAGAACAAAAGAGGACCCTGGGGACACCCAGACATCTGGGCTGCAGTGTCCTGGTGTTCACGGAGCCTCTGTGATAAGGGAGCTGGGGAGGAGCTGGCAGTGTGTGCTAGGGATGTGGTGTAACTTTGACATGGAGAATTAAGGAAAGACTGAAGTCACACGGATGGGAAATGGTAGGCAAGCTGAAAAGGAGCATGAAATAAAGCAGTGGTGCACCATTCGACAGAGGAGAAACTGATCTCCTGGCAGAGAAGCCCCACCTGGGGATACTTCCACAGAGAAACTTCACCTAAGCCTGGCACAGCTGAGGCATTTAGGAGTGCACCGCCAGCATCCATTACCCTCAGCTGGCTGTTTGCACAGTCACCACTTCTGGTATGTCAGAAGTCAATTCTCCAAGCTGCATCTCCCTCAGGTGTGAGCTGTGGCATCTCTGCTGCTGCTGAGGGGACACAGCGCAAGCGTCCACGCTGCCCTTGACACCCCACTCCCTGGCACCCATGAGCCAGGCTGAGAGAGCTGACAGCGAATGTTGTAGCACACAGAGGTGCCGGCCAGACACTTGCTCAGCAAGATCACAGAGCAACCCCGTGGCAAACTGACAACTCTGCTCTCTTGCAGAGTCCTTGCAAATCTCCCTGCCGCTGTGCTCTCTGAGCCAAGAAACCAGCAGCCACGTCGACTCACACTTGCCAGGTGTGGTAGGGTCTGTTCCCAGGAGTGCAGATGGATCTGTCGGACAGGCAGACAGACAGGATTTTTATTTTTGGGGGAGGCAAGAGAAAAAGCACGAAGGTTGTAGTGAACACTCAGAAACAAAAAAAACAAATGCACTTTTTAAAATTTTGTTTCATTTATTTGGCAGTAATATCCAATCCCCCCTGCTTCAAAAAAAAATTACAAAATCAAGTAAAATAAGTGCACTAAGAAAACCTACAGAATACTGATAAACTTCACACACGTACGGGAGGGAATATAGACAGAGGAGTGGGAGGATTTTTGTTTTTTCCTTAAATCTGGTTTTCCGAAAAAAAGAAAAAGCCTTCCCTGCCCTTGCAGTCCGACAGCCATTGTGCTGGGGTACACATGGTGTTCAGCACATCCCTCCTCACCAGCCTACGCACCCCGCAGGAGCCAGCAAGAGCCCGGCCTGCGCTGGGCACAGCTCCCTGGAGGCTGCCCTCCCTCCCCGGGCGGGCAGGCAAGCTGTCCAGGTGCTGCTGGGTTACCAGAGCCTTGGAAACAGCATTGCTCTCCAGAGTTGTATTCTCCCTTTGAGGTCAGAAGGAGGAAGAGGCTGCACAAGTTTCCCCGTGGAGGCCTCAGTTCACTGCCCTCGTACCCTGCTGCCGCAGAATACGCTGGAGTTACCCTGCATGGCTTTTCAGAGGACTCAGCCTGGCTTGCTCACGAGGCAGCTGCCCACCCTACACAGGAGCGCAGAACCCGTAACCCCAGCTGCCAACCTCACAGCCACAGCAGGGAGGAAGCCGACCAGAGAAGGCATTGAGGAATCGCAACCTAAAGCAGCACTTCAGCTATGAACTAGCTACCCTCACCTACACACGCTTTACTTCTCCCTGTTGGAGATCTTCCTGACTGAACAATAAGACGTTGCTCCCATGCAGGGAAAGCCTTTAAGGCAATTTGTTGTGTTTTCTCTAAGGCACTTTAATGATCCAAGCTGGGAGGAAGTGAGCTGGGAGGCACCAGCTAACTTTTAGAATAGGACTGGAATAAAGGAAAACATTTATTAACAGTGTTCCTGTGACTCCAGCATCAGCATACGAAGCTGCTTGACTCATGCCTTTGGGGAGGAGTGAGGGCATGTCTAAGGGATGCTCCTGTTCCACCAACCACTTCCTCCAGCGCCACCAGTGGGAATGAGAGAACACAAGCAGCTCGACTCTTGTTGGCCACTTATTCTTGACTTGTTCTTGACACCTGTTCCCAGTGTAGTGCTATTCAGCTCTCAAACTCAGCCTTCCCCTCATCTCATATGGACTGACTTTCCTCACTTCCACAGGCAATAGCACTGGTCCAAATCTGGACTATCGTGGGAGAAGAAGCAGACCCTCTTTGTATTTATTATGCTGGGATCTCTGAGCATGGTGGGGTGGATCGATCCCCACTGCAAAAGCCAGACCATAGCAGGCACCAAGCTTTCTCCTCCTGCACTTGCTAGGCACAAGCTCATTCTGCCTTTTCAAGTCCTGTGCATTAGGGGGATGATTGGGACACCAGTCCTACTGATCCTCGCTCAAGTGGAACAACCTTCTGCTGATGCAACTGGAAGTTTCGCTTGAGTAAGCAGTAAGGACCACAAAATACCTTGGCAAAAAACGCTGAAATTGTTTTTGATCGGGAAGATCGAAGTAATAGGCAGTCCCCTCAATTCTGGGTATCTGCAACTGCTTGGGATAAACAGCAGGGGCATGAAGGGAATGTGGAAACGGGTTGTTTGCTTTTGTAAGCACTAGAAAAGACATCTTCCAACTTCAGGAGAGAACCAGCAGGGCTTGAGGCTAGAGAGGTGATGGGCAAATAAAGATCATTACATTCTTAACTAGGACCAATGCAAAAGAGCCCAGAAAACAATGACCCGGGAAGGGATGCAAGAGTTGCCAAAGATGGTCAGATTGGAGTCACTGTGAAAAGCCTCAGAAATGAAGATTGGAGCGTTGACTCCAAACCCAGCCCTGGAACCAAAGGATGCTGCTGCATTATCCCAGCCGTCGAAGGAGACCCAGGAAGACAGTTAACCTCACAGACTTCAGCTGAGCAGTTTTCTATGTAGTTACGTCTTTTAAAACACCCTGCTAATGGGATTGCCCAATCCATCTGTCTCTAGACTACCTGGCATTTCCATCTGGGTGATTTAGGGAGGGTTGTGCATGGACTCTGCACTCTGAGCACAAGATCAGTGCTGGCCAAGGCAGCAAGAGCTAGAGAGAGTTGCAGTGTCGATCTGTGTCAGGCAAAACTAATTACATCCAGCCCCATCTCTTCTCCTCATGAGGGCCACTGTCATCCCCAGCTGAGAAATACCCTGTAGTGTCGGGCTCACAAGTCACTTGTGTTGCTTGTGTGGCTAAGTGCAGTGTGATAAAATTGCATGGGCAATCTATGCATGGGCATTACAGCACTTGCAGGAACAAAACCCCACAAGCTGGGTTTTCTTGAAAGATCTAGAGCTACAAAACATACAAAAGCTGAATTACTACCTTAGGAAATAAAGTCATAAAAAAACAAAACAAAAGAAAACAAAAGGGGGAGTCGGCACGTGAATGTGATACGAAAAAATACGATAGCACCTTTAAGGAGAGAGCAGGGAGTAAGAGCGAGATGAGGTCAAAAGGAACCTTGTTGTGTTGGAGCCCACAATGAACTGGGGGAGCTCCCAGCCTTCCAAGGCCCCAGCAATGAAGCTCCCTGAACAGGTGGGCTGTGCTCCCCTTCCCTGGTCCCATTTCTCTGTGAATTACAAAACAAATAACCCATCGCTATACAATGTAAATATCTGTGACTGGGCGACTGTAGCAGACACTTGTGCATACTGAGATCAGCACTGGAGGACAGGGCAGCAGGTTGGGCCCTTCCTCCTGGGTTCCTCCTGTGGGGAGGCCCCTTACATCTCCTTGGTGCTCATTCGCTTGGTCTTCTCAGCCGTCTCCTAGAGGAAGAGAGCACAGAAATGAAGCTCTGCACCTGCAAAGGCACTTGCAGTTCCCCCGAGTCTTTATCCATCCACAAACAGCGTCAATATTGACTTCCTTGAAAGCCACACACCTGTATTTGTCTCCATGGACAACACGGAAGACTGCTCTTTGCAGAATAAGGTGCTCCCCTATCTACCAGGCAGTCTCCAAGTGACAGAGACAGAGGGAATTCTAGTGAGGAGGCACTTCATGTAAGCAGGTCTTCCCAGCTTCACACTTACCTGATGCTTCTGCAGTTCCTGAACATATCTAGCCAGCTCCTCCTCAGTCAGGTCTTGTTCAGGTTGCCGTCTCTGACCAGGGACCTTCTCATTCTTCCCTGCAAACAGAAATGGAGTTCAGTACTTTGAACTCAAACAGAAATGGGGGGGTGCAGATTTCAGAGCGCGAGCTGAGGAGAACGGAAGAGGCAGGTTAGACTGAGGCTGCATGAGACCACAGCCTATCTCAAGGCTAAGGAGATTTTGGGAGTGCTGGCCATATCTTCTTTGAAAAGGAATGTGGCTGCCTGGCACTTCAGGAGCTGGGTATCCAGCCTGCCCACCTCCCTCCCCTAAGGTAACAAATAAAACCACAAGGAAGAGGCTTCATTCTGCTGTCCTCTACTGTTACTTAAAAGAGGCACCTTTAGTTCGATTATCTTGGCTGGCTAAACTAAACTTCGTAGCGGACAAGAATATAAACAGAGCACTCCATTTAGCTGCTTATTCAGGTCTGTTGCAGGGAATAAATGGCGGCTCAGTGATAACTGATGCTTAACGAAGAACTAATTTCGCACAGCAAAGCCATGTGCACCACGCTGATGCATCTCACCCATCTGATTTGTTGGTTTATCCCCTCAACAACAGCTTTTTCCCCGACACGGGAAGAAAGTGAAAGATCTCCTGTGCGACTGCATGCTTCTGCCACAGAGGCAGCAACACTGTGTTTTGCATGGCAACTTTGATAGTTGTTTGCAAGCCAGCAGCAAAAATAAGTCTCTCAATAGCTTACCTAACCCCCGAGACCTGCCCATACCTCAGAGGCAGCTCTTGGTACTGCATTACAATGATCTTCTCTCAGGTGGGTTCCTGCTACTGCAGCCAAAAGTTCCCAGCAATGTGGGACGGGGTGATCACGGAGGGTGTGCTGCAGACTGCCAGGTGCTGTGAAAGGAACTCGTTCATACCTGTCACTTTCCTCGCTCCTTTTATGTCCAGGCTGGCAAACACTGCCTGGCTACAGATGTGCGCTCTCACACTGCTGCCAACAAAGCCCAAGCAAAGGCCCTGCTTCTAGGGAGGAAGGCCAGGAGAAGGCAGCCCGGTATCGGCAGGGTGTGCCTGGCTTTTCGGAAAAGTCCAGCATGTTTAAACATTTGGGAGAAGGCAGAATGGAGAGCCTTGGTTCAGAACCCCACCAGGGCTTCCCACAGCTGAGAGAGCTTAAAAAGGTCCTTCCAGAGGACCAACAGATAAACCAACAACCCTGCCTTAATATAAACACTACCTCTCTTCAGTCCCATCACCATTAATTTTTTCTACTTCCAGGGTTTTTATTAAAAGAATGTCAGGTATTTTCCTGACATTATTGGCTTATGTCTTACAGTTCCTGTCTGGGGCGAGCAGGACCTCTTTTATGATACTGTAAATACAGATACTGTGAGATACTGACACACGTACAGGAAAGGTAACTCGCTCCCCACCTACACATATGGTTGTAGGCAGTCACATGTTTGGTTTGTGTATGCCCCAAGGCAGCTGGATGCAAAGTAGCTCTAGTCTGGAAAATTTGGGGCTGAAATTTCCTGACACCAAACCCAACCTACAACCCTCAGCAGCATTTCCCCCAACTCAGGAATACACTTTCTCATCTCTGGAACAGAACAAGCTTGGGTTCTGGCCAAACTGGAACACAGGAAGGGTGATGCAAAAGCTACTCTCATACAGTCTTAGGAAGAATGGGAGAGAGAAGAGATCTGGACAGCTGCTACGCTGCAAAGCCTAGAAAGTAAAAATCCCTTTTGTACAGAACCAAATAAAACAATGTTCTGGAGAGCAAACAAACCCTCGCATGTCATTGCGGTGCACACCCAGTTCCCACAGGCACAGACGCAGCGGTTGCATTCCACCTCGGTCTCTGCTCCATCTTCATAGGTTTCATCTTCCAGAGCACACTCTAGAGAGGTACAAAACAAGAGCAGGGATTGTGAGACACAGAGCTGGCAGAGGAGAACAAGCTCTGGAGATACTTTGAGAGGAAAGAGGAAGAACTTTCTCAAAGAAGCCTGCTTCCCCCTGTCCACAGATTACAGTTGCTGGTGGAACATAAGGGCTAAAATACTCATCTTGAATTTACTGTGTGAAATCAGTGAAAAAAACATTGGGGAAAGTCAAACATTTCACTTTGATTTGCTCAAAATAATATATTGCAATTTCTCAATTCCAAATGAAATCTCAACATTAGATTTGCTTGAATTTCCCGATTTGTTATACATATGAGAGAACCTCCAAAGTGAAATGTCTTGGTTACTTGGAAAGCTTCTTCATTTCAGCACATAGGCCTTCTCACAACTTTATTCTGTAGTTAACTCAGAGGCCTACCAAGGCCTAACTCAAGGGCCTATCTCATGTTAGGTGAAAATCAGCTCATCATGTTTTCAGGGAGGGCTGCAACATCCCTAGCTTCCCACTGAAAAAGGAAGCAGACAGTTCAACTCCATATTCCCAGAGGAGCATCGCCTGTGTCAGCAGCGTGGTGCCACTACAGCGGGATGCAACCCGGCACCATCTGGGTGGCAGGAGCAAGCATCCCCGAGAAGACACCCGAATTAATGGCCAGGAATGCTTAGTCAGCCCAGCAGCCAGCTGTTTCCAAGGGAAGTGTGGCACGGTCTGGAAGGGTAGCGAATTTTGAGACATTCACCAGGGAGGGTGCCTGTGTGAAAGGCAGAGCACAGCAGGACTTTGCTCGGGTTTGACTTTCCTAAGTTATTCAGACATGAAGTCCTCACATGACTTTTCTCCACACTGTTAAATATGTGCCTTGACCTTCCATGCATACCTTACCCACCTGACCTACGTCCTTGCTTCTAAAACCCATACCTTTTTCATCACAAGATCTGTGGGTGCTCTGAGACAGAGAAAGGAGGATTTTGGTCAGTCCCAGGCTCAGAGAACAAGGGGTGCTGCAGGGCAGGAGGTAGGGGCAGGCTAACAGAACCCTAGGAATGGAGCTGGTTGTTGGGCTTAAAGCTGGTGTCCTTCCTCCTTTCTTGAGAGTTCCTATTGGTTCCCCAGTAAGAGGGAGGAGTTCCTACTTTTCTCTGGTGGGTTAAAGGATGGGCTGAGGCACTTGAGGAATTCATTGAAGCTCAGTTTCCAGTCAGCATTTTCATCAGACAGTTCGATGAGGGCATCTACACAGAGTCCCCTGAAAGGAATTGAAACACAAATTGAAACAAATTGAATCAAATTGAAATAATGGAAGTTTCATCTCTATATAAGGAAGAGCTTCTTTCCTGTGAGAGCCCTGGAACTGGCTGCCCAGAGAGGCTGTGGAGTCTCCTTCTCTGGAGATCTTCCAAACCCACCTGGATGCCACCCTGTGCCACGTGCTCTAGGTGTCCCTGCTGGAGCAGGGGGGTTGGACTAGATGATCTCTAGAGGTCCCTTCCAAGCTCAGCCATTCTGTGATTCTGTGTGAAACAGATGCAGGCTCTGCATATGGTGGTTCCAGACTAGTCCCTACTCTACCATCTTCAGAGTACAGATGAGGAAAAACAGTAATAACCAGGAAGGTTTCAAGATGACAGATACAGCTTTTGTATATATATAAAAACAAAAAGACAAAAACAACTCACTGGATATAGACAAAAGAGAAACACATACAAAATACTTCCTGGCTGGGGAAGAGCTGAGAAGGTGGGGGTTATTCAGAAAGAATCAGGCAGCAGAAATATCGCTCTGCTGACATCTATGTACTCTCACACAGACACAAGCATAGCCTGCCCACAAGCAGCCTGTTCTCTTCAGTGTTTCTTACACACGGATACACACAGAAAAAGGGAAAAACTCTCCAGCTACGTTTTCATGTGATGCTTTCATCAGCTCTTACTGCAAGCTTGTTCTCCCACTGCTATCCCCCTAGTCCCTGGCTACACATTCCCACCATCTTATTTTTTGCGCCGGATTTACCAGTCAGGCACCTATGCAAGGAAGGTCTGCTGGAAAACTGAACCTCTAGGAAATAAAAAAGCAGACAAGTTTTCCATCACACGACTCATCTTTTGGCTGCACTCCCACCGGATTCAGTGCAAGAGGGTAGGAATGCACAGTCTAAGGTGAAGGATAAGGGTGGGCCTGCCTGGTGGCACACACGTCTAATTAGGGGAGAAGTCGGTTTGAACACAGGCATCTTGGCTCATGCCAGTGCAGAATGGTGTTATGCATAGGCGTCTTCATTCCACAAGTGGGCAGCTGCCACTACCCACAACATCTGCCCCTTGGCTCTCCCTCTGGCCTCCTTCCCACCGCCCCACCTGAGCAGCTTGTTGGTCTCCTGGTCCATGTAGGTGGTGATGTTGACAGCAGTCTCATTCTGCTCCACAAACTTCAGGAACTCAGTGGAGTCCAGGCGAGAATCACCATTGTCAAAGCTCTGAAAGACAGAAAGATGTGAGGTGGTCTGATGTAACAGTTCAGGGAAGCCTTTTATTTCCCCTCTTCTAAATGCACTTCTCATCGAGGCTTTAGTGAAACATGTTGAATCATCCCTGCTTTGCAGAGGCTCAAAGAAAAGCAGCAACGCATACATGCTAGCGTCAGAAGGGGGAGAGGTGATCATAGCCTTGAGCTCACTGATAAACTACGCTGCCTCTTATTTACCTCCCGCTGCTGCTTGATTTATGTCTCTAACCCATTTCTTCTTTTTCTTCCAACCAGCCCTTAGCCTCCTTGTACATCCTGCCATAAAGCACACCAGTTGAGTTCAAGAAGGCATCAACTTTCCCATACGCATCCAAATTCAAAGCTGTATCTGCACTGTGGCTGTGATAAAAAGAAATGCCACAGGCAGTTATTTTTTTGCCAATCCTAAAGAAGGAACACTTTAATGCAACAGCACAATGTCTTGCCACTAACTTGGGGAGGTTCTGATAGGATTCCTGGCATGGAAGAACAGGATTTTTAGTCCCCAAGTCCTGGCTGCCCTCCCAGTGCAGTAATTGCATTCTGCTTTTCTGTCTGGGGCTGTCATATCACAGGGCTGAGCACTCAGCATGAGCTGCCGAGCCCCCTCGGAGACAGCTGCATTGCAGTGAGGGAAAGAATGAGCTCTGTATACATGCTGCTGTGAGAGATGCTGGATGACTTTTGGTGTGTGACTTGTGGCAGGTTACTGTGTCTCCTTGTGCAGTGTTACCAGAGAGACACAGGTTGCTATTATCTAGACATGGTTGAGGAAGAAGCCAGAAAGGCAAGGAAAACAGCTCTGTGTGTAACTGCCTCGTTAACATGCTTCAACTTCCACAAGATTTTAGAGTCTTTTCCCCTGCTATTTCCTTTGAGAGTAGCCACTGTTCCCTTAATCACCCAGATTCAGCTGGGCTTGTTACTATGTCTTTCAAGGCTACCGTCTGCATTTACTTTCCCCATCGGAGGTCCTCCAAAACAGAGCAATTTCCCATGACTGGCCTAACTCCTCTTGGCACGATGTCTTTCAAGGTCTAGGTCTGCATTTCCCACATGTGTGCCCCACATCTGAGTGACCCACACGAACGAGGATCTTATGTGCGAGACAGCACACCTGCTAACCCTTGCCCATGGGGAAAAACTTCACCTCACCCTCCACTTGCTTGTGCTGGGCATGAGCAGTCTGAGAAGGGAGGGCAGCTCCCGAATTTCATCAGGACTTTGTCAGCCTGGGGCCTAGGTGGGGGCCGAGCCGGGCTGTACCGTGGCCATGCGCAGAGCCCACGGCTGCCGCACGCGGCTCTGCAGAGGCTGCTGGGAGCAGCCTGTGTGCAGGGAAGGGGCCGCACAGCCCCGCTTGTGGGGACACCGCCGCTTTCGGGCGCTAGCAGCACCTGCGTGTGCAGGGATGAAGGCTCCCAGGGGGTTTCTGCAGAAGACGCCAGTGTTAACGGCCATGGGGGCTGCGGCGCTGTGCAGAGCGCGGGGGTAGCCCGCCCGCCTCACCAGGGGGTGCCATTGCCATGGCAAAGGCGACTGCAGCGCTGCCTCCCGTCAGGCACCATTAATCTCTCGCTGTCAACAGCTCCTGATTTAAGCGCTCTCTCCATTCCCCCCACCTGCTCCGCCCGGAGCGCGGGGAGGTCTCTGGAGGAGGCGGCGAGGGGGAGGGAGCGCGGCACATGCGGCAGGAGCATGGCAGGCGCGTGTGATCCGCCAGCTCCGGTGGGGAGCAGAGGAGGGGGCCTGGCTGCCCGGAGGCAGGAGCAACCAGCCTGCCCGAGGTGCGAGCCCTGCCTGTGGCTACTCCCTCTTAGCACAGGGCTTGGGGACTGACAGCTCTGCCCCAACTGGGGCATCTTCCTCCCAAGCAGAGACCCCTCCTCAAAACCCCAAATATTCCCTCTCCTCCATAGCCTTGGGACTGCCTGGAACAATGGATCAGCAACAACCTCCCACCCCAAAACGTGTCTCTGCACCAAACCAGTACAGCTTCTTCCCTCCTTAGCTTGCCTCTTATTTTTTCCTCCCTCTGCCCCTCATTCCTGTATTTTCAACACTGTCATCCCCCTTTCTCCCCTGGTTCTCTCCCGTCCCTTGGGACTGGTCCTTCCTGCTGCCTCAGGCATGTTTGCCCTTCCCTCCCCCTTTTCCACAGGGCAGGCCAGACAGCGGGAGCTAGAGATGTTTCAGCTTCATGTTGGCTGTGCGAGCGGCTCTGGCAGCAGTTGCTGCAGGCAGCTCACAGCACATGATGCTATAGGATATATCAGACTTCTCTGGCCCCCATCACTACTGGCACGTCACACACTGGAGCCTCTTGGCGCAAGACATGGCAGCTGTCTTGCAGTGACAGAGCAAGAAATACTTGCTGGCCTCTGAGGCAAGCCTCATGCTCCTTGCCTTGAAATACTTGTCCAGGACTTCGCTGTAGTTGCTGCCCTTGGAAAACCAGCCATCTGGGATAATCTCAGCTTCCAGCCACTGAATGACACGGCGACGAAGCTCATCCCTGTCCGACTGGTAGCAGACAACTGTCACGGAAAGAAGGGGTAGTGGGAGAGAAAGGAAGGGAGAAACAAAGTTGGCAAAGAGACTACAGTGCAACGACTGGAAATAAAAACCCAACAGGCAGTCCTGATGATAGCAGTTTGCTGGCCCCTTGGTCCTTGGAAATGAGCCATGGCCAGATCAAAGCAGAGCAGCCATGTGCTGAACAGCGGACGGACTGTGGGTGACACCATGTGGCAAGGATGGCAAACGACACTCTCACCTCCCCCTTCTGTCTTCCAGTCCTGGAAGCTTGTGGAATAGTAACCAGCTGACTCATCTTGGCTTGAAGAGCTCCGAGAATAAAGGAGCAAGGCAGCTGACTAGCCTTGGACAGTGTCTCCAGGCTTAGAGCCCAATATTTCAGGAGATTTAATTCTTCAAAGCCCTGGCTTGCCCACTTAGACTGGAAATTAGATGGGTTTAAATTATGTTTGTTTGCTGTGCTCTGCAGTCCACGATTTCTCTACGTGGCTATCACTTCGTGTGCTAGGACCCAACTTTGTATTTAGAAGTGAAATTGAAAGCCTAGGTCTTGTGAGCCGTCACATCTGCCTGCAGGTAAATGGAGTCAGAAGAGGAAGCAGTATGAATTTTGACCCTTGCACACACAAAGGATCTCCTTCCAAACCCAATTGCTGCAGTCACAGCCAAACAGACAGATGTAAAAAAGAATAATTTTGAACTTCCCCTCAGCCACTTTGGCGTGGTGGCTGTGCCCTGACATGGTCCTTTGTTTTAGGCTTCCACAAGGGCTTGCTCTCGTCTGTCCTAGGACACGAAGGATAATGATTATAGAGCTTCAGCACTCAGCCTTGGACAGAAAATGTCCCCTTATGTAGTACAGGCCATGCCCCCCAAATCCATAGCCTAAAAACACACAGAAAGGATAAGGGAGGAAGCCAAGCACAGGAACCAGAGACTTGCTGGTAGATGGGACAGATGCCTCAGCCAACCTCCTGCCCTCCCACCAACGGAGGCGTCATGATCCAGTGTTGCCTCTCTGTACCTGGGCCTACCTGTTAACCACTCCTGAAGCATAAGTCCCCTTTTAAAAGAGTGCTCCTCGAGCTGGGGGCAGCAGCTCCACAATTACTATGTCTCGAATCCCCAGTGAGCTCTGTAAGACTGTCTCCTGCCTCATCCTGGGCAATTAATACAGCTTGGGTCCACAGGGGCAAACTTGGTTTCTTTTCACCTTGTGCCTACACAGGGTCCCTAGGCCCTCCCTGCAGCGGAGGGCCGAGCCCAGGAGAGGTGCACATGAACAATGAAAGGTTATCAGGAGTACAGAGTTGGACAATAATGCTAATGGCAATCAGATAAATAGTTGATTTATCAACTCAGACCCTGCCACAGCCAGTGCAGAGGAGCCACGTTTATACAGAGCTATGCAACTGCCCCAGAAGACCTTCCTCCTGCCTCTCTTCCTAAATACATATTCAGGCCCCAGCAAAGTAAGGAGACGGCTTCTCACCTGGACTTGCAGCTGGATTCTCAGACTTCTTCTCTGTTAACAGAAAGACAGAAGAGGACATTTATGATGCTATGTGAAGCAGTAAAAGCTTTTTCCCATTCTGACTGAAACATGGGCAAGAGCAGAGGAGCCTGGGAACCTTTGGAAAAACTACTTATTAGGCTTCCCACAACACAGGCAGACAATAGCTCCAAGAGCCCAGCACAGCCAGGGTGTCAGGACCCTAAGTGCACTAATGGACCATAACGTCACTTACTAACTTCATCGGTGGTCTCCACCCACATATTCTACCCATCAGCCCAAGAGCTACATTTAAAATCATGCCTGGGCCCCTAGATCTTGTTTTAGAAATGCAGGTTTGCCCATCTCTAGCTGTGTTGCAGTCTACACCTGGCCACAGATCCTAATGATCCAAGCCCTGACCTCTAGGCAACCTTCCTACCGTGATGTCAGACCTGCTTCATTACTATGGACTTGAATGGCAATCACTGGGCTGTTCCTTGGCTTTAACCTTGATTACCATCACCAGCCTTGATTCTGTCCTGACTTCATGGCTTGATCTTGGACCTACTTCATCATCATAAACTTGCCTGACGATGTCGGCTCTTGGTTGAACCTGGCTTCTCTTCCCAGGCTTTCCTAGTTTCCCTTGCTTGTTTACTGTGGGAGAGGTCCGTGACGGGTAATGCACCTGCCCTGCTGGCCACATTATCATGCTCTGCTCCCAGCTTCCCCCCAACCCACCTTAGGGAGCAGCCAGTCCTGGCTGCTTTCTGTCATGGGGTTACCTTTACAGTGGCCATCATAGTCCACCTGGATCTTGGAGCCAGTGAGGCAGGCATCCCGGTGCAGCTCACAGTGGTTCAGGTATGTCTTGCCATTGCTACCGCACACGGGCCTCTTGTGAGGTTTACATTGCTGTGAGAGAATTAGGTAAGAGAGTTTTGTACCTGTCCTTTCTGCACAGCTAGACAGAGGCACGTGAGTCCCAGCATCAAGCCAGCTCAACTTTTGCAACCTTCTCTTGTCCCCAAAGGTGTTTGGAACAAGCTGAGCACTCCCATTCCCACCCCAGAAAAACCCTTGTAGGGTCAGAGGAGCCCATGGGTGCTGATTCAGAGGCTTTTCCTTATCCCAGCCCTAGCCCCATCATCATACAGGAGCCTTCCTGAAATCAGAACACAGTAGAGAGAAATCAGAGCCCAGAATAAACGCTGAGCGTAAACCTCCATCTGCCTCTCTGCGTGTCACGGACGTGCCTTGCTGGAAATGTTTTACTGAATATGTTCTGGGCACCTCTGTTTGCACCTGCAGGTCAACTCTGTCGCAACTCCTTGCAGAATCTGCTCCACCTCTCTGTCACTGAAATCAGAATAGGCTGGCAACCAAGGGCAGGTGCCTGCGGTAGAGCGAGAGTTCACCAGCTGAGCGTCACTGTTTGTGCTCTGCACCTCCTTCCTGTGCCTCGGCCAGCCTGGGCAAGGCAGGCCAGAGTGTTAGACTCTTTTTCTGTTAAGAGGCATTTCACTTTCCAGTGTCCAGGCTGCCAGTGTCTGAGCTGCAGAGTCTGAGGGAAGTGGGAGCAAAGAGCCGCACACCCATTTCCAGAGGTGCGGCAGGAATGGCTGTGAAAGCACAGGGCAGAGCGCAGCAGTAGGAGACTGCTGCTTTATAGCTGGGAGAGGCTTTTCAGCACATCCCAGGCTCCCTGCTGGACAAACCTATTTATCCTCACAGCGCTCTGCCAAAATTGTTTCAATTTTAGGGAAGCTGATTTTTAGTGGGGTGCTTGTAATCTCCTCAAACAAGACTCCAGCGAGAGCAGGTTGTCTTGAAGCTTGCAGGGCACCCCTTGCATACCAATGCCCTACTAGGCTCTCCCAACAGGAGAGGCCCCTAGCCAAGCTGTCCCTGCAGGTGAAGACTCCAGGCAGTTGTGTGAGTAGGACAGCTACAAGCCCAACTGCTTGAAAAAATTCTGAATTTGCAGCTGCCCCTGATGGCCTCCAGCCCCACCGTGTCATGGGGCCCTTCCAGTGACATGAACCCAGCCTTGAGTGGGGGTGTTGTGATGCCTTCCTCAGATGCAGATGCTCTTCTGCCTCCCTACCTCAATGCAGAGACAGGTTGGCTCTCCCTTTTCTGTCACAGCACACTCTCGTCCAGCTCCACAGAAAACATTGGCACAGATTTTGGATTTGCTCCGTGGTTCCTCCTGCAAGACACGAAGGAAGAGACATAGAATATGTCAAGTCAGCATTCACTACCTAGCTTAAAAAAAAACCCAAAACCTTTAGCCTGGATCAAAGGGCATCACACTAGTAACACACACATGACAAAACAAGAACAAGAAAGATGTCACTACAACAGACGGAGAGCTCAGACCATAAACAAGAGCAAACACAAAAACTAGGGTTTGCAGCCCCAGCAAAGGAGAGTGTCCTTGAGGTCATTCCAGGAAATTCACCGGCGAGAACTGAAGCAAACATGAGCATAAGAAAACCTAGTGCTAATGGCAAGAATGGCAAGAAACTCCCTGTTGTCAAGGATTACTGACTTCAAAATTCTTCACACTGGGTAAAGAGCAGAAATATCTTTGGCTGAGACATTTGGGAAAGAGATGAATATAACCCTGGAAGGAGATGAATATAACCCCCACTTTCCAAAGTATAATACCAAACAGGAGAAAGAAAACACCACAAGGCATCAGATAATGCCCCAGTCACAAAACATTTCACAAAGCTATGTGGCCTAGTATCTTGCTTCCACTGGTCAAGATCACATTCTTCAAAAGAAGAAACACTGACACAGATGATTATATTGTAACCTTCTCACAGAGAATTTTTTTTTTCCTGGCTCCTGACAGTGAGTGGTTGGCTATGCCCCGAGGCACGATCTGCAAGCTTTACAGTTTCCTCCTAGCCAAGGTCATCACAAGCACTCTTCTGGTTCATGTAACTGTCAAATCTTTTCTCGAGCCCTGTTGCATTCCCAAATTGGTGGCAGATAACAGGGCAGAATTCCACAGATTAATCATGCTTTTGATAACACCACCATTTGCTTTTATCAGCTTAATGTTTCTTTTTACTTACGCTCTTAAAAGAGGAGACGGTTCCTGAGGTTTGTACTTTAGAGACTAGGTGTAATTTCATGCTTTGTCACTAATTTCCTTTGTGACCCTCATTACATATTACATTTGACACCTAATAGTTAAGTATCTTGTTCAAGCTAGTAATTTGGCTTTCTCAGCGTTTTTTTACTGGAGGCGGAAGACTGAACACTCTTGAAAGTAGGTGACCAAACCAGAACAGAATTTGCAGAGGAGCAAGTGTTACTGATATATATAATGACAAATGTGGAGTATGCATTTTTCTCCTGTTGCTTCTTTATCTCCCCCTTTTTTTACTTCGCTTTTAAACCACAATTACACACTCATTTGCTTCTTCACTGAACTGCCCACAGTGACAGAAAAATCAGATCATTTTCTGAATGAACTTGCCCTGATCTTCAGAATACGTTTTCTGTTGGCCTGTTGCACAGTCATCCCGTCTGAGGAGGTATTTTCAAAAATGACGGTCTCAGCTCAGAAACGTACAACACTTTCCAGGTTTGCTCACCTCATAAATACAGTTTATTATCCTCACTCCGTTCCCTCCTTTTTCTTCCCAGCTGATAAATCACGTATAGTTTCTGAGCTATAAAAGACATTCTGCCTTTTCTGCAACATCTGTATCCCTGTAGCTGCCTCCTGTGGAGAGATGGATAAATGATCTAAGCACTTCTGGGAGGAAGGCTGTTCCTCTGAGAGTGCAACGGAGCAATATGAGCACTCTGCTGCACAGGGCAACTTCACACAACTTCGGACAGGAAAGGGAGAATAAATCACTTTGCAAAAAGCAGGATGAAAATCAAAATAAATTCTCCCAGACTGCAAACCGCCTTGGTCACTCGCGCACCTAAATTGCACTGCCGATGCCTAAATGCTGATTTACTGCAAAGGGCTTCTGAGCAAGCCCCCAGCCATGCATGGAGCCAAAGACCAGAACAAGAAGGGCTGGACACGGCTTGAAACGCCTGTGGCCGAGGTTTGCAAGCCAGGCTGCTGGCAATAGGTGGCAGTGCTTTGCCTCTCCTTGCTCACGGGCATGCAGCAGCCTCCCCAAATGCCAAACCTGCCTCCTGCTTCAGGAACTGAGACTTAAAGAAAGGACGGAAGTGAAGCCGGCCTCAGCGGGCACCCAGCGGGCAGCTTGGCCACGGTGGCCAAGCTCGTGTTGCCTCATCAGCTCCCCGGGATCAGTCCTGCACCGTGCCCGTGCTGGTCACTGCTGCCCTCCTCGCAGTCTCACAGCCAAAGAGCCAGTCTCTGCAATCCAAGCTGGCGACATGGCCACAGACCTCTAGGACTCGCTGCCTGTCCCTGCTCCTCCCTCCTGCTCTCCACATCTCCTACCTGGTGGAGAGCGTCTCCCACCTGCCTCTGCGCCGTGTGCGCCTCAGCCTGGGGCCAGCGGCTGCTGCTGCCCATACTGACTCTGCCTCTTTCGAGACCAGGACCCGTTTTCCCCTGTGAACCCACACACGGACGGAGATAGCAGTTGCAACAACGGCAGCTTGGTCGAGCTGCCTGGCTCTGAAGTGGTTCATGGGCTACCACAGAGCAGGAGCTCTTTCTCCAGTGGCTGCCATCCATCTTCCCACAGCTTCCTGCCAGGCTGAGCTGTGGGCTAATCCTTGAGTCTCCCCTCTGTGACCTAGAGCGTAACTGAGGAGGTGGTGGTGGTGAAGGAACGGGTGAATTCGGTGGGGCTCTCGGAACCAGGGCTGATAGACTTCAATCTTGAGTCTGCAACAAACCACAAATCCATTTCTTGTGACAGATATTTTGAGCTTGCCTTGAACCTTGTGATGTTTGGTGTCTTTTTTTTTTAAGCTTTACCTCTTGGAGACATGTGAGGAGGTGAGGACGTCAGCTGTCACTTCAATATTAAATAGCCTGTCCTCACAGCTACTGCATAAACGCTTGAAAATGCGAGTGGCAAAGGCTGAAATAGCAGGTGACAAGCAGAGAGACTCCAGTATGTTATGTATTTAAATGCCATCATCTTCAACCTAACCTCAGGGCCTGGGGGCCTGGAAGCATGTTTTCATACCGCCTCCTCTGGGTGAGCTGCTGTCTCCCTTTCTGTCGCTCCCAGCCGTGCAGAGGGGCTCAGGCAGGTGGAGGGGAAAGGGCTTGGAGTTACCACTGACTGCTGTACAGTGGCATCCATGTCGCAAGCCATGACGAGACGGTTCCTCTTCCCGGCTCAGGTGGGCTGGTCCAGCTGGGGCAATGCTCTCAAGCACCGCTCTGACACCCAGAGAGCAGGTGGGCAGGCTAGCAGCAAAGGGCCCAAGAAGCATCCAGGCTCTGAATGGCCACCACAGCACCGTGGTGCTCCTGCCTCTTCACCCTCGGCTTCTGCAGGGCACAACCTCGCCAGCCATCTCTCTGGCCCAAAACCACAGGCAAAGCTGTTTGTTGCCACCATGCTGCTGGTGGAGCAGAAGCCCAGAGCAGTGGGGCAGCAGCAGCCTCCCGTATGTCCACAAGACAGAGACGGGAACACATGCCGCTCACGCAGCATTGCGGAGCCTACTGCCATGGGCTAAGGCTTCTCGCTTGCGGCCTAAGGGCAGTTGAGGCCGGAGGGAAGCGCTGAGCGGGACACCTGCGCTGAGCGTGCTGCAAGCCACCAAGGGCGCCTTCCCGCTTGGCTGCTGCATCGCCACCACAGAGCAGCGGGGAGGAGAGACCCGCTTGGCTGCTGCATCACCACCACAGAGCAAGGGGGAGGAGAGACATTTCCAAGGCACCTGTAAGTGGGAGAGGCGGCATTGACGTCGGTGGTGAGGAATCGCCATGGCAAGTGAGGAATCGCCATGGCAACCGGCAGAGCGGGGCCTCAAGGCAGAGATCTGAAATTGGGCAGCAGAAAGGGCCGTGTCGCATCTTGAGCAGAAAGAGCGCCGGGGAGAGCGCAGATGCCGGGAACGTCCCCAGGCCCGTCTGAGCCCAGATGTTCCGGGTGGAGCGCGGTTCCGTGTGCTGCCCCGTGCGGATCGGCAGGCGGGGCCCAAGGGGGCCCTGCCTGCATTGGCGAGGCTGCTTCAAGAGCGCGCTGCCCGCAGGCACGTGGCCATGCTGCACGCCTGGTGTGACCGTCCCCAACCTAAGCGCCTGGCAGAGACCAGCCCCACGTGCTGGTGCTCCAGGGCTTGCAAAGACATACACCTCCATACGCTTGCAGGGACAGCGTTAGGGATGGCCTGTGTGTGACTCTAGGATATATGAGAGTGACTGCAGTCTGCTGAAAAGGTTGATAGTTTACCAACAGAACAACTTTGAGGGAAAGAACAAGTTTCCACCTGCAAAGAAGAACTGTGCAAGCGGCTGCATGTCCATTGTGGCCCAGCACATGGAGGAAACAGAAGGGAGTCCTGTTATTACACACACTCACACACGCTATGAAACCGCACACAGACCATGCTGCTGGGAAGCGGGTGAGGTAAGGAATGTATGCGCTTGGAAAATCATCCCCGAACCACTTTCTGCACGTCCTTCCATATGAAATCTCTTCTTAAGAGACCTCAGAAGTATTTTCTCAGCCGCACAAGAAAGCACTGGACAAGTGGTACATGCTGTCCTGCTCCTACTGACCTCAGTAAATAGCTTTTGGGCTATCAACAGTTACCCCAGCTTCAGCTTCTTTCTCTTCTTCTGGTATCAGTTTGTGGAAAACCATAAAATGACTCAGCCATTCATACTGCTGTGTTGTTTGCTGTAAAATCAAGGATTTGCGTTTTTGCCCTGCCTGATGTGCAAGCAAATCAAAATGCTCTAAAGTGGTGACAACGAAAGCTCTTCTGGGAAGCAATCTGATATACAAAATTGAGCACTACATAGAAAAAGCAAAGTAAATGGCAAGAAAATGATGGCTGGAGTTGCAAAACTTGCACAGATTGTTACTCTTCAAGGAAGACAGCAGCTAAAGCTGGGGGGAAGCCTTCAATTCAAATATAACCAGTATAACAGTAGATTCTCCTCAGATAAACATGGAGAAATAAGCATTGCTACTGCGTATTTTCCACCAGTCCTCCTTTTGTCTTCAGATTCAATTCCATCTTTTCCATTCCCTGTGACATTGACTTCCATAGGAGTATCCACATTGTAGGTCTCAAGAACACACCAAAGGAGCACTGGCAAGCAGCACTCTGAGTAATTTATAAATGAACTCAATGTCCAGCCATGACATCTAATATTTCATTCAGCTCTTGTCTTGGCAATGTTTTCCCCTCAGTGCAGAAAGATTTGGAGCTATTGGGTCAAAGATGCGGAAAGCTGAGGCAAGAAGCCTTGTCTCCTGACTACTGAGCCTCTCCTGTTTGCTGCAGGGCTGGGAGGGAGAATTACACAGAATCACAGAACGGTTGAGGTTGGAAGGGACCTCTGGAGATCACCCAGTCCAACCCCCCTGCTTCAGCAGGGACACCTAGAGCATGTGGCACAGGGTCGCAGCCAGGCAGGTGTTGAAGATCTCCAGAGAAGGAGACTCCAGAGCCTCTCTGGGCAGCCTGTGCTCGGCCACCCTCACAGTCAAGAAGATTTTCCTCAAATTCAGGTGGAACTGCCTATGCTTCAGTTTGCACCTGTTGCCTCTTGCCCTATCGCTGGCCACTGCTGAATAGGGTCTGTCCCCATTGACATCCCCCCTTAAGGTATTTGTACACACTGATATGGGCAGCTCTGGGGACATTCAGCAACTCCTGTACAGAGATGGCACTAGGAGAGCGTTTGGCTCACGTGCTTCATCCCACCACCTGGCGGTGCCTCCGGGCAGGATAGCTCCTTGGGCTGTCTTGCCAGAGCCGGACGAGCAGCCCATGCCTGCTGGAGGGAACAGCCTGTTACCCCCAGTCCTCCCTGCTGCAGGGTGGGCAGTCTCCCCCCTCCTCATTCCGGTTTACGGCTAACGAGCAACGTGCCTGTCCCTCCCCAGCAACACTGACCTGATTCCTGCGGCAACTCCCTCAATCCTCTAACACTCCAATGTAACAGGGCACATCTCTGGCAGTGGCATAAACTGAACAGACTGGCAACAAAACAAGCAAGCAACCTGGCCTTGGGATTGTCATATATAAATAGATGAACATTTCAATTTCTCCTTCTTAGTGCTATTGCCTCAGGACACCTGCAGGCTCTGGAATTAACGCTGCACAAGCTGCCTTGAAATCCCATTTAGAAGGTTTATTTACAACTCTTGCAGGGTGGATAAGTGTCTGGCTTGCACTGTCTGAACCATGCGAGATTTCAAGACTAGTTTTCCAGTCAAAGCAAGCTCCCTGGTCAGAATTAACACTAGGCTCACGCTGGGACTGTGTGGTGATCCACAGCCATCCATCTTGGAAGAAGAGGTCACCAGATATTGCTGAAGCCACTGCTATAGGGCCACCTCAGGCCCCATCTGTGCTCTTCCTCAGGTCCCACAGTGACACTTTTCCATGGGCACTATCATCTCCCTCCTGCTACCACCTCCAGGAGCTCCCCTTGGCTTCAGGAGATATATAACACATGCCCTACAGCTCCATCCAGGAAAATGTTGTCAGGCTGAAGGCCAGACAACAGGCCACCCCCACACTAGTTAAAAAGCAGAAGGAAAAATGTCAAGTTTGTGTGGCAAAGCCTGGGCCAGGAATGGATTCCTCAGGGAACCGCCAACCGGCACATTGGACAACACCATCAAGGGTAACAAAGTCCTGTCTGAAAGGTTACAGCACGAAGCCTGTGATGGATGTGAAGGAGTCTGGAGCCAGTACTTTAGGAGTCCATCTCCTCCTCCTGCTGACCCAAGCCCCAAAGCTGCTCCGTGAGGAGCAGGACTAACAAAGCCCCATTCGCAGGCGCGCTCTGCACGGAGCGTCTGGCAGCTGGCAGGGAGGCAGCTTGTGAATTCTTCCCTCCAGGGGGTTACTTGTGGGCCCCTCTCATTAAGCCGGTCACCTAGAGTCACGGAACCAGCTGGATCCCATTATCTGGGAGGCTTCACTGCTTTATCAGCCGTGGTGGAAACAGGCAGGGAGATTCCAGAGGCGTGGGAGGTGAGACAGGCCGGCATGGCTGGCGCCCTGACACAGCCACGGCTCCTAAGGGTGTCAGGCTACAAACAGCACTTCTGCACGGCTCCACGGAACAGCCTTCCAGCTCCCCACCTCGCTCCGGGCAGGCTGAGCTATGTGGTGTGCAGCCCTGGGGCCAACCCCTTGCAGCAGCCTGCTCTGTATGAGGCCCTTGATTCCAACTCCCCTTTCAGCATCACTTCCCTTGCATTCCAGAGAGCCCCCATCTCTCTCCTGCTTCAATCCACCCCTCAAAGCTTCCATCCCTGAGATACTTCAGCCAGCTGCAATGCAAGGCTGCCAACGGCCATCCGGACACAGTGCTGGGAACTGCTGTACTGCAGGACACCCACCTCAGAAAAGCAAACATCCCAGTCCACCAACCCACACACCCAGTCATCAGCCACATGTACCCTCTGTTCTTCCCAAATCCTTCCCAGCATCTCCTACTCTCAGTCAACATCCAGGACTGGCTTGCTATTACTACATCACACAACCAAATGCAATCCTGTTAAGGCTTTTTAATGCTTAATAAATGAGTATGGCTGAGATCCTCCTGCAACAAGAAAGATTGCCCTGGCAGCACTGCCTGCCAAGGCTGCTCTGCCCTCTTCGAGAAGGGAGCAGACAGAGGCTGCAGCTACACGTGGAGAGAAAGGCTCCTGCATTAGAAAAAAATGCCAGTGCTGCACAGCTGCCACAGTGACCTAGAAGTCTGCCCCAGGGCAGGAGCTGGTGAGGAAGACTGAGCAAGCTCTACATGCCCTGTGACCTCAAGTGTAGTGTAGGCTGTATGGCAAGGACTGTGACTTTCCTGTGCTCCAGTGCAAGTGGGTAAGAGCTGGGGTAAGCAACAAAATGAGACATAGGAACTGGAGGCAGAAGGCTCTCCTCCTCATACTCTAGGGAAAAGGAGAAAGTCATTTACCAAATAGAGCTAATTTGTCTTAGTGCTGCTAACAGCTACGGAGCTCAGCACATCTCTCTCAGGGACTCCGCTGTTTTTCCTTTTAAACTAGCAGGCTCTGGCTCCCACAACCTCATATTTTCCATTACGAGGCTAGGACCAGTGAGGCCCCATAAAGGGAACAATGACATGAGAGAGTCGGAGGAA